TTGCTACACATCCCCTTGTCACCTTGTTACAGAGCCTTTCAGTGGAGAAGATGGTTCTGGATGAACAGGGATGGCTTTGCAATTACAGGTGTCTGTGACATTCCGGGATGTGGCTGTGCTCTTCAGCCAGGATGAGTGGTTGCACCTGGACTCTGCGCAGAGAACTTTATATCGGGAGGTGATGCTGGAGAACTACCACAACCTGGTCTCTCTGGGTAAGGAGGTTTGCCTCGAATGAAGATTCTGCTGGGGGAACACGTTAGAGCTCCCTGTTTGGGTTTCAGAGTCTGCAGTTTTCACCCTACTGTGCCCCTGGGAAAGGATGAATCTCTGTAGAGTTGACAGTATACATTTTTGTTGTGATACCCTTCATGCTATTCTTTTCTCCTTCCTGTGCCTTCCTCCCACCCCACCTCCCAGTCAGAGTTTCCTCCTACTCCAATGGGTAGATTCTGGAAAACATATAAGATTCCTGTCCTAGAGGCAATGTAGCCAGGTCCTATACTGTTTCTGAGCTGAGACCCACCTTCTGATCCATCCCTGAACTCCCCCCCCCCAAAAAAATTCTTGTACTGCCTTCTCTGGCCCCTAACCTCTGCCCTCTGTGTGAATTCTGGATTTACTCTTCATGCCATTTGTTCAAACTTCATTTTCTTCCTCATGAGCAGGGATTCCATTTTCAATACCAGAGGTGATCTGCCAGTTGCAACAAGGAAAAGATCCCTGCATGGTGGGAAGAGAAATTCCTCAAGACACCTATCTAGGTGAGTGAGTGACTGGGAAGTCACAGGGTGTCTTACACATGAGTAGGTCAGGAAGAGGCAGTGCTCTGGAAACTCCTGGAAATTCTGAGCCCTTACTGAAATGTTCAGGGCTGCCTGATAGAAGCCTCTTTGGTTGTAATGGTTTTCTTTGCATCAATTAGGTCCTTGTCTTGACATTTTTCTTCTTATACACTCTCTGCCCCTTTCCTTTTCTTGCCTCATTCACTTCTATAATCTTCGGTCTCTTGCCCTTCAAGTTTTTCTTTCCACCTGCATTTACATAGGTTCATGTCTGACAGATATTAAGTACTTGACACCTTTTGCTGCCATCCATATTTTGAGTTCTTTGTTATTTTTTTCACCTATTTCACCAGCCACGTATTTCAGAGTATTATCAATGCTCCTATGTATCTGATTTCTCAACATTTCCTTTTTGTCTTCTTGAAGATCGGGCAGTCATCTCCCACTGTTACATTCAACTAGTTGTCATTAACATAACCACTGCAACTTTTCTAGTCCAGGGGTTGGCAGATTTTTTTCTGTAAAGGGCCAGATAGCAAATATTTTGGTTTTGGGGGCTCTGTGGTCTCTATTGCAGCCATTTAACTTTGTCATTGTAGTGCAAAAGCAGCCAGAGACATGACTTAAAGGAATAGATGTGGCCGTGTTCTAATAGAACTTTACAACAGCAGGTGCTTCAGAGACCTGGAGTTTGCCAACTGTTCTTCTAGCCCAGTCTAATCTAGCGGGTCTTTATCATAAAACTGTAGGGTGTTAGAGTTGAAGGATCATTTAAAGGTGATCAAATTTAGATATCTCTTTTTATATCTGAAAAAACAGCATCAGAGATTTAAAAATACTTCAATCACAGAGCTAGAAAACTGGAATGCATTGATATAAAACTGTATTACCAGTGTCATTTCTATTCACCATGTGACATAGATTTGCAATATTTTGCTTCTCTCTTTGTGGCTGGACCTTAAATCTATGACTCTTGCCTTCATTGTTGTTGTTTTTTTCTCACTCTCTCTACAAATGCTTTTCTTAATACAATTTTCTAATTTCAGCCCCCCCCCCACCACTACTAACAAGTCTTATGAACTATAGGAACATTACCCTCTCTGAGCCTTTTTCTTTTAACCACCTTCTATGCCACCAGCAGAGTGATTTTTTTGAAACTTAAGTGTTAATCCTAGACCTTAACTAACTTCATTGTTTCCCCATTATCCATGGAGTAAAGTAAAATTCCTTAATGGGACATAAACTTACTTTATAGCTTATCTTCATATTCCTTTTTAGCCTCATCATTGGCCGCTTTAACTTCAACTCCATGTTCTGGGCAAACCTGCATACTCATTAACATTTGTGTGTTATACCTTCAGTTTGAATTACCTCTTCCATCTTGTCCACTGGAAAACTACTTATCCTTCAAGATCCATTTGTCTGCCTAAAATGCCACCTTTTACATGTAGGTTTTCTTCATATTTCCTACTTCCCAATCAGCATTAGTTTTCAATTATTTGCATTGATATAGCACTTTCTCCATACCTTGAATATATCCATTACAGTATCTAAAATAAGGAATTATAGTTATTTTAATTATTATCATCTTCCTAATTATATTGCACATAGTTAAGGAATCCTATGCCTCTAGCATCTAATACATTGCATTTGGTTAATATTTAAAAAAAATATAATTGAATTGCCTCTATGATTAGCTCAGTGCTAATGAGGCCCAAAATCAAGTATTCAGTCCAGACAGACCATTGAAACTACATCATATTTTAGATTCCATCTGTCCTTCCTCTTATCCAAGCTGCCTACTAAAAATGACCATTTTTTTGTATCACTACCTGCTTAAAAACTTACAACACCTTCTGTTATCTGTATTATTATTTTAAATTCCTCTGTGTTTGGCCTCACCCTGCTTAACAACATTTTAAACTAATTCCAACCTGGATTTTCTTCGTTAGTCAATAAGTCTCCCCTAAATAGGTTTATTTCCTCACAGATGACTTTGGGCCTTCTTTCTGGCTCACAGAATTCTTTTTTTCTATTGAAGTCCATCCTATCGTCATTGTCCAACTTTCTTCACAAAACCATTCTTTACTAATAAAGTTGGGATTGGTATCTTCATTCTCTGACCTGCATTATACAGTTGAGGCTTCTCATGTCATGGAAGAATCAACTATTACTCTTTGGTCATTTATTTAATATTCTCATTGCTGATTGTTCAATAAATGATTGATTGAGTCTCAGAAGTCCAGCTTAAAAGGAGAGAATCTCCCTTTAAAATAATTTTTCCAACTTACTCTGCCTATTCATTTATTATTATTTTTTACTTCAGACATTTGATTGCATCCTTGCCTTGTGCACAATGAGGAATTAACACACACACACAAATCATAAACATATCCACTGTTCTCCTTGAACAAATACTTGAATTATTTTTTACAAACTTTATATATGCAAGTTAAGTGATAGAATGTATAAATAAAATGTTTGAAATTCTAAGAAGGAGATGGTGAATTTAGGCTTAAATAATTAAGTTTCTGTAGGAAATGGGATCAGATTAGTAGGGTAATTTTATTGATAAGCAGGGAAGGCCATAGGTGGCAAAGGATAAAAAGAGAGAAGGGACCCTGGTTGATCCTTAAAAATCCAAAGTGCTAAGTTCCCAAAGATACCCTTAATGAAGACAAATCTGTATTGTTTTTTACAGATTTATAGTCTGTATTTCTTGTTCTTCTTACTATTTACTTTCAATAAATTGGATGGATTTTTAAAACATAAATAATCCAATTGTATTTTATTTAAGTTCCATAGTTTATTTAAGTATATACAGTTACCTAATTACAATGATCTAATTTTAATCTGTTTTCAATTATGGATTGATTGAAGAAAGCCAGTTTTTAATGCAGAGCTCCTTAGAGTCAGCTGAAGCTAATCTTTTTACTTACAATCAGATCCAAGCTTGGGGCTTGGTCATATTTCAGAACATCAGGACATATTGACTTTCATTAGTCTCAAAAGATTCCTACAAAGAGAGTTCTGTCATCTGGTTGCAACTTATTAGAATAAATGAAATATGTCTATTTCTCCTCATGATCAAATAGAAAGTGAGAAGGATAGTATGAAAAAAAGTTATTCCTCCAATCACAAGGTATAGATTGTTGCACATGGCTGACTTACTTCATATTTTTCTCTGCTTTATAATTAGCATCTTGAACTTAGATCAGATATCATCAACACAATCATGCTTCAGGGCTGTTAAAAGTTTTAAAACCTGAACTTCCTCTTTTTAATAGACTTTTCCTTTTCACAGACTGGTATGAAATCATTCACATGCAAAATCACAAAATTTAAGAAAAACATTGCAGATATTTAAAAATTCTTGTGTATAGAGTTTCAGTGAAAGCATGGGGAAAAATGTAATAAAACCAACATTTGAGTAGAAAGGAGAAAGTAAAGGAAAGTTATCTGCCTCATACCTAACATACTCAGAGTAGGAAATAAAGCTAAACTGAAGTATCCCTTAGTATTCAACTTGAGCTTGTAATTTTTCTGAATATTCACACCTTCTACTCAACCAGCTATGTCTATCTTTACTTTCTCTCAATTTGTGATCTCTTCATTTTGAGTGTTAATTTGTCTAGTGTATTCTCCCTTACCATTCTTTAACCTATAAATCTCTTTTCATTCCCTCCTGTTTTTCTCCAGATTCAAGTCAGAATCAGATGGTATCAAACCTCTTTCATATATATTATTGTCAATTTTAGTGTCCCACTGATGCATGTTTACCTCTTCCAGCAGTATAGGCATTAATTCTTCTGATTCATTCTAGATTTCAAGACTTGGCCTGAAATAGAAGCATTGCCTCCCAGACAGGACATTTTAATAAAAGAAATGTCTCAGAAAATAATAAAGAAAAAATTCACTAAGTTTGGTCACTGGGACACCAAGTTTGGAGAAGCTTTGGAATTTGAGAGCAGAACAGAACAGAAACAACAGAAGAAACCTTTTAGGCAAATGGTAGCTTCACACAAGAAAAACATCTGTGGTAATGGAAACCATATAAGTCTTGAACTAGGGAAAGTCTTATTTATAAATACAGTTCTTGTTACACAACAGAGTGTTCCAATAGAAAGGACAGACAATATATATTATACTTTTGCGAAAGATTTCAAACAGGATGATGATCTAGAGAAATGTTTACAAATTTATTCTGGAGAAAAGCCTCATATTTGTAATGATTATGGGGAAAGTTTTAGTCAGAGTCTTCGTCTTATTGAACACCAGAGAATTCATAGTGGTGAGAAACCTTACACATGTAATGAGTGTGGAAAAAATTTCAGCCATAGATCATCCCTTCTTGCCCACCAGAGAATTCATACTGGAGAGAAACCTTACAAATGTAATGAATGTGAGAAAGCATTTAGCAGCAGTTCAACTCTTATCAAACATCTGAGAGTGCATACTGGAGAAAAACCCTATCAATGTAAGGAATGTGGTAAAGCCTTTAGCCAGTGTTCAACCCTCACAGTACATCAGAGAATTCATACTGGAGAGAAACTCTATAACTGTGGTGAATGTGAGAAGGCCTTCAGCTGTAGAGCAAAACTTTATAGACATCAAAGAATCCATACAGGTGAGAAACCCTATAAATGTAGTGAGTATGGGAAAGACTACAGCCAGCTTATATCCCTGGCTGAACATCAGAGGCTTCATACTGGAGAACAACTGTATAAATGTTTGGAATGTGGGAGAACTTTCACATGCATCTCAACTGTTGTTGAACATCAGCAAATTCATACTGGACAGAAACCCTATCAATGTAATGAATGTGAGAAAACCTTCAACCAATATTCATCCTTTAACGGACATTATAAAATTCATACTAGGGAGAAACTTTATACATGTGGAGAATGTGGGAAGGCCTTTGGGTGCAAATCCAACCTTTATAGGCATCAGAGAATTCATACTGGAGAGAAACCCTATCAATGTAGTCAGTGTGGAAAGTCTTTCAGCCAATATTCATTCCTGACTGAACATGAGAGAACTCATACTGGAGAGAAACTCTATAAATGTGTGGAATGTGGGAAAGCCTACAGTTACAGATCAAACCTTTGTAGACACAAAAAAGTTCACAATAAAGAAAAACTCTATAAATGGAAGGAATATGGGATCAGAGATTTCCTGGAGAAGATAAGCCCTGTGAGGTTTAATTTGTCTCTCAAATAATTCAAGACTTCTCATTGGAGAATAATCAGGAGAATAATAAATAAGGCACAGACTCCTGATAGAGTTTTTTACTTCTCCTGGAGAAAATGTGCTAGTTACAACTAAGTAATGATAAAATTGGTCAATGAGAATTTGAAAAGAACTGACTTGTCAAATTTTGTAAGAACCATTAAACTCGCCCTGGCTTGTGTAGCTCAGTTGGCTGGAGTATCATCCTATACACCAAAATGTGGCAGGTTTGATTCCTAGTCGGGGCACATACCCAGCTAGTGGGTTCAGTCCCTAGTCAGGGTGCATGTGGGAGGCAACTGATTGATGTCTCTCCCTTTCTCTCCCCCTCTCCTCTTCCCCCCTCCCCATTCCCTCTCCCTTTCCCTCCCTCTGTCCAAGACCAATAAAAAAAATTTTTTTTAAAGAATGATTAAAACTCTAGGTTTATAAAAACAAAAAAATTTTAATTCATTAAAAAATGTAAAAGCCAAACTTTTTTAAAAACCATGAAAACAATGGAATATAAATTTCATTTCTTTCTTTAGACTTTATTCCCCTTTTAAGAGTAAGCTTAAATGTGCATTTTAAAAAACAACAACATTGAGATATTACTGTGAATAAGTGTTGGACCTTATTTTCTAAAATGGCAGGGAGAAAATAGGATGTATTCTTTTTCATAAGGAGAAAGTAAAAATAAAAAGGATTTTTTTAAAATTCAAAATTTCACATGGAAATAAGCTCACTTTTTATGAACTGCCTTACCAGCAAGTTTTATATATACACATACAATTTTGTCATATATGCATATTTTTTCCAAAAGTCTCTGATTTTTAAAATGTGTTTTTATTAGAATTTAGTTTTGAAAATTAAAATTTTGCCCAAATGGAGTCTCTCTTCCATTTCCTTTTGTACATTATTTATAAATTTGATATGATTCTGCATTACTGAATAGAGTCTTTTTACAGTCCTGTAGAAGGTGGAGTAAACTGGAGGAAGGGCAGAGACTCATGCAAAACTCTCATCAGTTGCAAAGGTTGATATTTGCAGAATTTGACTATACATCTGGTAGCTCATTAGAGCCAGGAAATATTTTAATTTAGTTTATTTATACCCTTTCCTTTTTACTAATGAAAATATTGAACTATTGGGCAGAGTCAAGACTAATCTAGGTATTCCACTCTGGTTTTCTGTGGTAATTATAGGTTCATTTCTAACCTCAAGTCCCAAGAGTATTATTTGTTTTGGAAACTGGTCAGGCATAATTGCAGTAATTTAATCAGTTTTATTTTTGTGTTTGATGTATTCCTTCTCACTTTAATCTTAATAATTGACTTACAGTCATGTTCATTCTTTTTCTTATGTGGCCCTAATTATATATGCTTTTATAATAACTAAATAAATCCTCAAACCCAGCTGAGGTTCAGATGGTAAAATTGCTTTTGGGGGTTTCACATACAAGATTGTCTTTTTGTCTGTTTTTGTTGCATACCTTTAAGAAATTCCTTTATCTAATGTGATATATGAATATTTCTTGTCTTGGCTTATTAGAAATAATCTTCTTATATATTTAAGTATATTTATAAGGAAAAGGAAGCTTCTAAAAAGACCTCAGTATTTAACAGTGTACAGTCATTTGCAGGATATTCTAGATAAAAACATGTTTGGTTACCCAATAGTAGTAGCCATGCTTACTACTCAGATTCTCATTTCTGAATGCCATTACCTGCTAAAAGGAACCAGGCCTCCTTGGAGTTATTGCTGATTGTATGCGGAGCAGGAAAAGTGTAAGGTGTTCCTGGAATACCTTTTTAATAATAATAATTTAAAAAAACACCAAAAAACCCAATAAAAGGGAACACTGAAAACTAATGCGATAATGTCAGAAGGACACAGGAGCCAACTTGAATGCACATTCCACTGGTCAAATTTAGGACTATTTGAACATCAAAAAGAATAATCAGTGTAATTGGTTATAACATGTTAAGTAAACTAAACCCATAAAAAATAGAGAAAGGACAGCTCTGTATAAACTTATTTGAGGAATGCCACCTTTTAACTGTACATGAAATGATAGATTTAAAAATATTACCATTTTCTAACCCTTAATGTAATTAAATCAGGCACATTCAATCGGTAAAAACTGTTAGACGAAAAGAATTAAGGAACTTATTTACATGGTGTCAAAAGATTACAGATACTAATAGCAAAGGAAAGATATACCTTTATAATGGAGAGATCTGGCTGGCTGAATTTCACTACTGGTAGGATAACCTGACATTATATGTTTCCTGATGGACACATGATCATCTGTGATGTATTCTTGTAAAAAGTGCTTAACAAAAATCTAATTAAATTTCTTATCTAGACTTATCTTCTTGTTTATGAGAAATAGGAATAAAGGAACAAGTTTAATTACACAGTGAGGAAATAGACAAACAGAGTTTGAGACATTGTACAAGAACAACTGGTCTGAACTTTCCAAAAACTAATGTAATAAAAAGTGTATTCTCTTTGATTAAGACAGTCAGGAGGCATAACCAAATGCAAGGTGTGACTCTTAAGTGGTTGCTGATTCAGAAAAATTAAAACCATAAAGGACAGCTGGGAGAACACTTGAGGAAATATGAGGATGGAATGGGTGTTAGATAATGTGGTATGTTCAGTTTTCTAGAAGTGATCATATTATTGAGGTATATAAGAAATGCCCTTATTCTAGGAGATGCATGCAAAAGTTTTTGAGTTTAAAAAGTCATATTTGCAGCATATTTTCATATAAATATGTAAAAAATTAGTCAACTGTTGAATCTGTGGAGGATATAGAGATGTTCATTTGTCATTTAACATTTTTCTGTATGTTTTAAAATTTGAATAATAAAATATTGAGGCAAAATGATTGGATGAAGTGATGAATATGAAGCTTCCAGTTTGAATTCTTCCTCTATACTCAGTTTCCTGTCTGAGAGTTTATCCTCTAGGGATGTAATCATTGGAAATAGCTTTTGGTTAGTTCTGGATCCACTTGATTTTTAAAAATATTAAAAATATATATGCCAGGAGTGACGTCAGAGGAATGACCAAGAAGTCATTGAAGTTTCAACAATCTGAACAGCCATATCTCAAAAAAAGATTCCCTGCTCAATGCACAAGTATGCCTGAGAGATCCATGCATTGAAACATCTAAAGGTGGCCAAGTGAAACAAAAGGGGGAGGGAAAAAGGTAGTGGTGCTGATACAAGCCAGGTGGGGCTTAGCCAGGAGAAGTGAGGACTCTGGCTGGTGCTGACACCGCCTTCAGCCATGAGGAGCAGAGAGACTTGGAGGGCACTCCAGGAGTGAGCAGCAGTAGCTGTGGCTGAACCGAGACACCCGGGAAGAACACAGCACAGGAGAGCACCCGCAGTTGTCAGGCTGTCTGCAATTCAGACTGAAACAAAGCCACAAAACCTGGCAATTCCCCTTAACCTCTCAGAGATCGCCTCCCTTTGCTTTTGGTGTTGGGTTGCAGAGCACATTAACTGCAAGCCAGAGAACAAATACTGCAGAATCACATTTCTCCCTGAGCAAAGGGTACATATACTTTGTAACCAGTCCCAGGGTTGGGTCACAAGGAGGACCCTGGAAGAGGACTGAGGCCACCATTACGGGGAGGGCAAAACAACAAAGAAGCTGGAGGTATCCCCCAGCCCATCCTCATCCTGACACTTGGTGGTTACTCTGACCACAGAGGCTGCTGGAGACTGTGCTGGGATCTCACAGAACTCAAAAGATCTTGTGATTCACTGCCAACTACTGGAAAAGAACAGAAAGACTTCATGTTAATCTGCTAGAGAAGTGCCATTCACATATATGCCTAGGCAGAAGGAATCAATCTATCAAATACCCTGAATAACCAAGGGAGCAAGGGATAGGTGCGGTACACACACTCTAAGGGTGACCCCCAGTGAGTCACTCTATAACTCCCACCCTCTTCTACTGAGTGCGGGAGGAACCTGGGACTTGCTTCTAACCAATAGAATATGGCAAAGGAGATGGACTGTCACTTGATAAGGTTACATTACAGGCATACCTTGTTTAATTGTGCTTTGCTTTATTGCGCTTTGCAGATCCCGAGTTTTTTACAAATTGAAGGTAAAACCGTCCACTAGCAAAAAAGATGACTTGCTGAAGGCTCAGATGTTGGTTAATATTTTTAGCAATAAGGCATTTTAAAATTAAGGTATATACATTGTTTTATTAGATATGTTATTGCACACTTAATAGGCTACAGTATAATGTAAACATAACTTTTGTATGCACTGGGAAACCAAAATATTCATGGGACTCCATTTAGTGTAATATTCACTTTATTGAGGTGGTCCAGAGCCAAACCTGCAGTATCTCTAAGGTATGCCTATATATGACAAAGGTGATCATATATGTGTGTGTTACACACACACACACCTCTGGAAAGACTGGAGTGAGAGATTCTTCCATGCTGACTTTGAAGAAGGAAGCTGCCATGTGGTGAGATGGCCACTTGGCAAGGAACTGCAGGCAGCCTCTAGGAGCTGAGAGGTGCTGTTGCTGACAGCCATCAAAAAAACAGGAACCTTCATCCTACATCTAAGGAGATGAATTATGTCAACAAGCTGAATTAGTCTTTCTGATCTTGAGAGTCACCTGCCTGTGCCCCGGCTCTGAGACAAACTCCAGTCAAGCTTTCAGATAACAATGCAGCCCCGTCAGTCCCTTGATTGCAGCCTGTCACCTGACTAGTAGACCCAGCTAGTCTGTGCCCAGAAACTGAGATAATAAATGTGTGTTGTGTGAAGTCACTAAGTTCATGGAAATTTTTTGCACAGCAATAAAAAAGAATACAATGGAACAGAGAATAAAGATCCTTTGGGGAAAGAGAGAAATCTTTGAAGAGTTGTCCTGGGACTCAGCCTGGGAAGGGCAGATTTGGGTAAAATATTCATTTCTTCCTTCATTGATTTGTCAACTACTCGGTAAGGTCTACTGTTATGTGCTGGGCACTAGGTCACAATATAAAGCTTTTGCCTCTCACAGCTCATTTCTTCTTTACCAGGCTGCTGTAGCAGTAACTTTTCCACTCTAGACATGGTTGAAAGGATAGAAGGGGAATTCACAGTTGCCAAGTCCCCATGATTACCTGGGCACAGGGCCAGACACTTTACATACACTGACTCATCAGTCATCACAATGACCATTACAGTCAGGATTAATATGATCATTTTACAGATTAAAACCACTGAGGTCACACAGTGGTA